AGTTAAGTAGAGTCTTGAGTCTTAAATCTTAAAGTATGACAGTATGACAGTATGACTCAGACTCAAATAAGACTCTGAGACTCAGAGCAACCGTTGGGGCCCAAGACTTGAAGTTGAAATTGATGGAGGTCTTCAAGTCTTCAAGTAAGAGTAAGACAGACAAAGACAAAGTGACAAACTTAGAATACTTACAAGACTTACAGTTTACAACTCACTCACTCGAAATTGTGTTAGTTGAGCTGCGCTGACGTCTGAAGTCGTTGAGTCGTTGAACTCTTCTGGAGTTCTCATTGTCATCTTACTGAATCTTACTTACCGTTGTGAAGTTGTGGTCGCGGTGGTTGCGACAGGTTGCGACAGGGGTGAGTTGTGCCTCGCTTCCTGGCATTGCGAGAGTGTTCAATTATTAGAGAGTCTCAAGTCTCAAATGTCGCTAGATTTCCCAGCCTCACACTGGAGCCCGTGCCAAGGCCCCACAATCATCTTGGCTTTCAGCCGAATTGAACACTGAACAAGCCTCCTGGCGTGCAGACGAAACAGCCCAGAATCATCTTGGCTTTCAGCCGAATTATCCAAGCCTCGCGGGCAGCGGAAGAAACACCAGTTGAAGGCTGTCAAGGCCTTGGCCAAGCCTGGCCGCTTGCCAAGAGCCCGCTATCATCTTGGCTTGCAGCCGAATTATCCAAGCCTCCTGGCGGGCAGCCGAAACACCGGAGAAAACCAGGTCACCAAGTCGTCTGCAGACACATTGGTCAGAAGGGCGGTGAAAGCAAAATGCCAAACTGCCAAAGGTCATTCTTGGACTCTTGGACATTCACTGATTTGACTTGCGACGCTTTTTGCTCGTCTTACCGGCCTTTCCATCTTCTGTCCCCGCTCGGCCTTCTTCCTCTGCTGCTTGGCCTTGGGCGGCTGTCGGGGCCTTGAATTCCAAGCTGGATTGGACAAGCTTCACAGTGTCCTCTCCCAGAGCCGTCAACAGAGCGTTGTCTGCGTTGCTGCTCTGCCAAACGTCTTTGAGGGCCTTCCTTGCGGCGTCGCCAGCGCTGCCGCTTCTGCCCAAATTGGCATTTTGCAGGAGGGTGAGGATTCCCCATTTCAAGATCTGCACCCTGCACCGGGCTTTGAGGTCGGTGAGCCCTGCCTGTTCTTGTTCGTCGAAGGGCCCGCAGATCTGCTGGCAACTCTTCTCTGCTGCACGGATGCTCTTCAGCAGTTTCTTCAATTTCTCTCCCGGAGCAGCTTTGTGCAGGAACTCTTCCCTGGAACCTTCGTCCGGTACGAGGATGTCCTTGAGCGCCGAAGCCGTTTCCTGAAGCAAATTCTGCGCTGAGGTTTTTGTTTGGTCAAAGACCGGCCGCAACTTGTCCAGCACGTTCTTGGCCGCCGCAGCGAAAACCTCAAACACCTCCTTCTCCAACACTTGCAAGATTTTTTGCTTGCTGGATTCAAGGTCGCACACAGATTCGAGGTCACACAGCAGCTGGTAGTTCAGCAGGTTCTGTGGCACTGGCTCGCTGACAGCGGAAGGCATTGCCACGCAAACTGCCACCAGTTCTTTGCACGCGAAGCTAACACAGGTCCTCGCAAAAACCGGTGTGTCACTAAGAGCACACGTCTGCAGAGTCTTGTGCTCAAGCGCCTTCAAAGCGGCAGCAGCCTCAGAGACCTCAGCCTCGCGTGCGGCGAAATCTTGGTCTGAACTCGCGACAGTTGTCACAAGCTTCGTGGCTGACAGCCGGAACTGCTTCATCGCCTCTTCGTGCACTTGCGGGCCTATGCTCTCGATGCGGGTGCTGCTCAAAACTTGTTCCAGAGATTCCTTCAAGGCGTCTCGTCTGGCTTCTGGCTGCAACGGGTTCACGTCCAGCTGCAGTGCACTCTTCAATTCGCTCCAGGCATCAACGACCTGCTTGCGCGCCTCTTCATCATCGGGGCCACGGTCGCCATGCGTTTGGGAGGCTTCGACGAGGTTGAAGAGCAAATTCGCCAGTCGGCCGCAGAGTCCCAACTGCGCGCTGGCAGCCTCAAGCCGATCACAGACCTGCAACAAGCCGTGAGGGTCCGCCTCATCCTTTACATGCTTGGCTGTCAGCCGGACTTTCTGGGCAGACCAAATGCCCTTATTCAAGATCTGTTCGGAGTGGTCTCGTTTGGGCCCTACCTGCATGGCTGCAGTGTCTCGCTTCCCAAGCTCTTTACAAGAGTCCAACAGAAAAGTGCAGTGGCTCTTGCAGGCCTCTTCTGAAATGAGACACAGTCCGTTCATCACGGTGGCCAAGCGTGGGGTGGCAGCTTCATGTTCGGCCGTGCGAACCAGAGCACTTTCCAACTGGTTGCGTTCGGTTTCGCCGAAGTCCAATCCTTGCTGGAACGCATTGCTCAGGGCGTCATACGCTTGTCGCAATTCGGCCTCCACCGTCTGCTTCGCCGGGGCGTCATTGAGACCCGTGCAGAACGTAAGCCAGTTCTCATTCTGGAGCAGCGGGCGAAGCACGCCCAAGTAGTTGATATCGGAACGCATCTTCTCCAAGCGCTCCGAGGCAGCTGTCGCCGCTTCACGATCTTCTCCCCGGAAGAAATCATTCAGCGTGGAGAGGTCGGACAGCACGGCGGACGGCAGCTTCTGCGCTTCAAACAACTTGCCAGGCAGGACCTGCAAGATTTGGAATGGTGACATACCCATTTTCTTCCTTACAGGCTTTGCATCTGGGCTGAAGCTCGGCACGAGGGAGCCCAGTGCCTCACCGAGGCAGGTGAGGACAACCATTTCCACCACGTCCCCGCTCTCTGCTGGAACCTTGGCAAAGACAGGGCCTGCCGGGTGGCAGTCCTCAGCGACTTCATCCAGCTTGTTCAAGCGGATCAAATCCGTCAACTTCTCTTGCAGAAGCATGCCGCGCCAGGCTATCGGCACCTGCCCAGTTACCAATCAGCATATAAAATAATAATATAATACTGACTAATATATCATCATAATCATAATTCATGATTCATAATCATAATTATAACAGATAACATAACTTAACATAACTTCTATTTCTATTTTTAAATTTTAAACTCTACTCTTCTACTGTCTACGGTGATAACAGGCGGATAGACTCATAGACTATGACTAAGACTAAGACTAAGACTAAGACTCTACTACGACTACTACTAAAACTTTAGCCTTAAGACTAAGACTAAGACTAAGACCCCAAACTACGATTAAGCCTCAGACTAAAAGTACGACGCTGAATATGACTCGACTCTCTGCTATGACTCTGACTATGACACGGACTTTGACTCTGACACCGCGAAACGACACAGGTATCCTGACTACATCGTCATTTGTCACTCGGCTGGCATGCAACGCATCAGCATTCAGCAACAGCATATCAGCCCGCGGCCTATCACTCAGAAGTCACAGCACTCACAGTACATTCAGTTCATTAAGTGTGACTGATTGTGTTAATCAGATTATTTATTCAAGTTAACAATTTGAACATTTTTAAGTTTTGAATTTAAATTTAAATTATAGATTATAGATAGACTAGTCACTTTAGTCTAAGATTCTTAGACCTTAAAGTGCCTTAAAGTTAGTATGGATACTTTACTAACAGTAAAGTAAACTAAACGTTTGAAGTTTGAGGTAAAGTTTAAGTTTAAAAGTTTAAGTCTAAGTCTCTCTAAGTCTAAGTCTAAGTCTTCTAAGCTTAAGTCGTTTAGTTTAAAGTTTAAAGTTTAAAGTTTAAAAAGGTTTAAAGTGTCTAAATGTCTCTAGTTCAAAATGTTAAAGTATGACAGCATTCCAGCAACACAACACGCCCAGCAAACTCACCAATCGATCGATTGCAACAGCAACATTTGCGTCAATTCAGCCTCCAGGCCGGCTTGCAGCAAATTGTCGAAGGCTTGCTGCATCTTGTCCACGCTGGGCGGCTTCTTAGCTGACAGCTGGAAACCCTGCGAGGCTGCTTGAAGTGCAGTGGCTATATCACGGTGCCGGGACGTGATTTCCAACGCCTCCTCCGGGGTGTTCTGCCACCGCCGCACTTTGCTGTCGAGCGCTGAGGCCTTCTTATACAAATCCTGCGCGAAGCCCGCGAACTCGTGCATCGTTTGCTTGTAGGCCTCGTTGGTCTCGCAGCTTCCGACCGTCATGAAGTTCTTGTTGCTGAGGAATTCCCTCCTTGCGGAAGGTTCTTTTTGTTGCACAGCATTTGACAAAAAGTCATTCGATGTTGGTGGCTATGAAGAATATATTATTTATATTTTTTTATTTATCATTTATTATTTTTTTATTATGCAAACAAATATGCTTTGTAATTGAACTATCAAATATGAAATGATATGTTATGAGTCATGAGATATGAAGTTATGAATTATGAATATGACAGTTATTATAGACTTATAGACTTATAGACTTATACACTTAGACGACATAGCCTTCTTATAACAACTTACTCCACAAACTACATAAACTACACCAACTACACCAACTACACTAACTACACTACACTGCAATAAACTACATATAATGATATATATAAATATTACATATAAACTACACTAACTACACTAATTACACTACACTGTCCTTATCACGCATCACTTATGCAAAAATAGAAAACACATTAACATATATAACTAATTATGTAACATAAGTCATAAGTCATAAGTCAAAATTCATAGGCTATGACTATGACTATGACTATGACTATGACTATGACTCTAT